GTACAACCTCTCCCATGCTCCCAGGATGTGGGTGTGAATGCCAGAACACTCTGGAATGTACACAGAGCCTTTGCAGACTGCTAAAGATCCCACATCCTATCACTACACAATCGATTATACACCTCTAAGCATATATGGTTAAATATTTCCTAATACAGATGACAATAATAAAATCTAAACCCATCAATATTCAAAATGTGTTGTGTGATCTAGATGACAGTAGCAACTGTAACTGATTTGGAGTTTGGTGAAAATCAAGTAAGGGTCACTCAAAATGTAAAAAATCATTAAAAACTTTATATTACCCACAAATATTTTATGGATTGGCTCCGGGGGACACGAGTACCTGAGCTGGCTAAGCATTTGACGTTGACCCTTATTGTTGGCACCCAAGGTCAAAGTTGATCTTGCAAAATATTTTAAAGAAAAATGTTTGAGTAATATATCATGTAAAGGGTCAAGAGGAACACTTGTTTTTCAATGCAATGCTCTACAACATTACAATGATGTCATAATGTTTCACAAAATCACACACCGCTTGAGTACATTTTAAAATCTCAAATTTTTCAGCTTGTAGAAGCCAATGATTTCAGGCAATTCTGCTCCAAAGACATTAAAAATGCATTTCTCTGCAGTGTTTTATGATGACTGTCATTAGTGCTTTTGTTTCTGACTGAAATAAAGGACTGAATAAAAAAGTAATTGAGAGAAATCTGACCCTAAATGTCTGATCCTAATACTAAGTTCTAGTCTTGATTTTCTTTGGCTGTGTTTGTAAAAGGAGCAAATGCACTTGACGTGGGTGAGCAATTGTAGTTAGAGAAAAGGTCCGAGTACAAGTGAGTGACAGTGGTGTGAAGAGGGCATGCTCTTTGAGGAAGTGGTTCAATTCTCAGGGTTGTGTTTTTTTTGTTTGTTTTTTTTGAGCCACCTCCACGGGACAAGACTCAGCAGTTCATCTGAAATAAAGGGCAAAGGTCACTCTTTCGAGGATGCCAACGTTCACATTTTGGACAGAGAGGACAGATGGTTTGAAAGAGGAGTGAAAGAAGCCATCTATGTCCACTGTGAGCGACCATCTAAGAACAGAGGCGGGGGTTTACGACACCAACTCTCTGCCATCTATAATCCCTTCCCAAACGTGTTAACGCCCACTCACATCCTGGGCCATCTGACCTCAAGAAATCACATGATGGGTGGGGCCAGGTTTCACAATGAGCTCACCCGGAACCCTGGCTGATTGTGACCCACACCCGCTTTCACACCTTGGCTCATGTGATTAGGTAGAGGATCATCAGGGGGTCCTTTGTCCCTCTTTGGAGGGAAACTCCCACTAGGTTTAAATCTGGGACTCTCCAGCATTTGACCCTTAGAACTGAAGAAGCTTCTCGGATGAGAGGTGAAATGTCTTCAAGCAACTCAAAGAAGTCCAGACGCTTTTCTTTCCAAGCTCCTTAGACTACGATGACCTGGATGATTGAGAACCTTCACACACAAAACAAGTGGTAATATCTTGTGTATCCACTAGGGGGAGCAGTGTGGAGGCACATTCATTTAAAGGCTCGCTACACCAGTTTTATATCATATTATATCACACCATATTTATATGTTTTAAATTTGTTCAGGGATTTTATAACTAGGGCAGATTCAACCTTTCTATCAAATATTAATATAGATATGTGTTTGCAGCAAATAAAAAACCGGTAGTGCACAGTGATTATTACTGCCTTGCGTTTATGGAAATGAAAGCATGATTGTTTCATTGCACTGCTAATGTTCTTAGATAAAATGCAAAATCAAAATTTAAATGTGCTCCAATTGCACAACAACTATACAATTAGTGCCCCCTGCCCCCACAGAATACAATTTTTTTTCTCACTATGCAATCAGGAGATTATTAACAGCTGATACCTGTTTTATACATTTTCTATACCGTTTCTTGGGATTTTGCAATCAAGTGGCGGACTTCAAAGCCTTATTGGCAGCTGGCAGCTGGCTGTCAGTTAACAGCCAACTGACCTCTGGCTGAAAGTGACAATTTTGAATGACTGCATCTGTAGAGCTACCCGTCATTCATTATATTTTCAAACAAACATAGACAGGAATGTTAAAACTGCTAAACTCAAGGTATTGTAAACTTGTGACATCAAAACTGCAAAGTCAGTGTTTTATACAGACAGCAGACAAACCCAGGAGTAGAAAACATTCAGAATGCTTTTTGAGCAGTCTGAAGTCGAAGCTTGTAGATCATGTGATATTATAGACACCAACCTCATTATTTGTAATTCTGTCCATGTTAAATATATATATATGAATAACATACTATTGCAAGAGTTTATATAACAGCAGATAAGAAAGACATGTCGTATAATTGTTTTTTCTCCCCTGATCTGCTGGCACAGGGCCAACAAGGACATCACTGGTGACACACCATCTCCTGCTCCACGTTGCTCTCCTCCTTCTGTCCATCGTTCCCACCGAAACTAAGGTAGTGAAATCAATGTCAGAATGTGACAGTTTCTTTCTTAACAAAAATTCACCAAACATCACAAAGATTTTAGAGGGAAGCATCATCCTGGAACAGGCCAGATACAAAGTGATTTGCGAGTTTTTAAATGGCACCACTACATTTGTGACGCTCTACAACACCCGCAACAAGATTCCAGTTTTTTCTGCTGCAAAGTTCAGAGGGGACAAATGTGGGAAACCCAGTTACAAATGGATGATTGAACCAGAGGTACAATAATTGTCATAAATTATAATAATAATAAAAAAAAAAAACAGACCACATTATCAGATATTACAAGTGCAGGTAACAACCTAAGCGGACCTGTAATTAGGTTTTAAACAACACAATTTTCTGGAAACAGTTAGTATATTTCATCACAACAGTACAACAACATCAATATTGTACTCTTTCCATTTACACAGCTTGAAAACAATGAAGAGATGAGAGAAGAAACAAGTTTCAGCTTGAAGAATCAGGCTAGTAACATTGATTATGCCAATAGCAATGGGTTTACCAAAGGACAGTTATTTCCAAGTACTTATGGATTTACTGAAATTCAAAGAAGATCTACTTTTACCCTGATCGTGTTATTTCACAAAATGCTTCATTCAACAGGAGAAGCTGGAAGAGAGTGGAGAACGGCATTAAATGTGTTATGAATAACTACTGCGGTAACAACAGCTATACAGAAGCCTTTGTAGTGACGGAAGCACAGCCCAGCCACAAGAAACCCATAACAAAAGGATCAATAGTCCACATAGGCTGTGGTCGGCATTCTGCTGCTACAGTGATAGGCTGAAAAATGGCTCGCAAGTGCACACTGGGGCCGAAACAATGAATATAACGAAGATTACACACAGACTAAGACTTTGGAAAGCCTCCGTACAAAAGTGGGAATCGAAGCATTCGATGAAAGACAATGTCCTGGAGAAACATCTGTCACTGAGCTCCACCCACAACTTTCCCCTGATTGCAACTGTCCATAAAAACATAAATGTATAAACTACTGAGGGCTGAGATCTATCATCAGTTTTACACATTTATATGTTGTGATGAATATGAATAACGTTTATTGATTTGATTCAGTTTGTAATTGCTTCTTTGCATCAGGCTTCATGACATCAGATAAAGATAGAGCATATTAACCTTTGTGTAAATCTGGTGTTATCAGAAACATTTTTGGTAAATGGAAGGAAACCATTCATGTTAATTTAAGCTGCTTAAATACAAAACTTTTGTTTGAGTGGTGACAGCTATCATAAATATCAGAACAGACAGAGGTAAACACTGGAAACACAAGAAGAAACATCAAAATAAACAAACAATATGATAACAGAAACCGGTTAACATAAAAGAAAAAAAAATGGAGAAGGATAAAGAGACTAAAACAATTTCTAATAATTAGATTTTGATTAAACATGAAGGCTCCCTGTCTGGTTCTTGGTCCCCAACAGAGACACCACCATTAAAAAAGAAACCTTGGACTCCCCTGTGATTCTACCACAAATAATACATGTATTTGTTTCAGCTTTGTTACGTTTGAAGACCGTGTGTTTTTTAAGATGCATGATGACACTCAAAATCGACTGACTCAACATTTCCACTTTGGTAGGCAACCAACAGTTTTCTGATCACAAGAAATCAGGCTACAACAACAGTTACACATGACATAAAGGTTAAGAACTATCATATAACAAAGCACAAAGGCAACTTTAAATCTAACTAAAAAAGATCTGAAGCTGTATTATAAAGTGCACTCATAATTTTTGCGTGAGTCATTTTAGCATTAGTGAACAGTGAGTATTTTTTGGCAGCAGAATGGTCAATGAAGTATTTTGACAAAATACTCTAAGAGCTCAGAGGAACAAATGAACATGTTAGCCATTACAATTTCTTTAATTTCATTTCAAAATAAATTCTTCAAATGTTTGAGAAACAAACTGATCTTTGTGGCTGCTGTAGATTCACAGCAGCAGCACCATCACCACGGCCAGAGAGACAGAAACCCTCAACACAGGAAGTGAGTCATGCAGAAGAGGGGAGTGAAAAGGTTCAGGCTGCCCACCTTCAACACAGGAAATAAAGAAAGATATAGTTTGGTCTCGATACAAATACAGCAATAGCTATGTGGTTGGCTTTTAGCTGAGCTTAGTAGAGAGAGCACATCTGAAATATTTGCTTAAAAGTCCTAACATCATCTCACCTCTGACAGACAGCCAGCTGTATGGTGATTCTCCAGTAACAGAGACATTACACTTGTAGGAACCTTCATCAGACTTTGAAATCTTTGGGATAGTCATGACTCCTGTAGAGCTGTGCCCAATGAGGAGGTTATCTTTATAAAATTCAGCTGTGAGGTTGGATAAAGAAGTCTCCCTATATGTGCAATGCAGAGTGACGGCATCGCCCTCCTGCAGATGATGGACCGGACTCTCCAGAATCACTTTGCCTCCTATATGAAAAAATAAATATTTAGAGCTTTAAAGGTGCACTTTTGAAAAAAGAAATTCATGCAGCAGAGGTGGAGCCCAAACTTTCATAGAGCTTCTTGCGTAAGCCAAGACATATTGGAATCATATGGGCTAAAAGAAAAATGCCTTTCTTAAACCTCAACACCTTTCACGTTTGAAGGAATTCATTTCAACCACTTCAAGATGATAATGCTTTTAAAAGCTTTTAATTTCAATATAGTTAGTAACCAATTTCCCCTGGAAAATAATTATTTGACCTATACTATTTTAAATACTGCCTGTACTTTTAGCTTAATAACTGAGCTAACTAACATTTTTATTCATACCATAACGTAATAATTATAATAGATTGCATTTATATAGCGCTTTTCTCACTCAAAGTGCTTTACAATGCCACTATTCATTCACTCTCACATTCACACACTGGTGGAGGCAAGGTATAGTTGTAACCACAGCTGCCCTGGGGCAGACTGGCAGAAGCGAGGCTGCCATCGGCCCCTCTGGCCATCACCAGCAGGCGGTAGGGTAAAGTGTCTTGCCCAAGGACACAACGACCAGGACAGAGCTGTGGATTGAACCGGCAACCTTACGGTTACAAGATGAGCAATATCATATTGCTCAATATCAATACATATCATATTGTACTATTGTACTATTAGCTAATTATTTCAACTGTCACACTTTTAGCAAGTATTTAATTGTTTTTTTTTCAAGTATTCACTTTTCAAACACTATCTATCTATTGCCATTAATGAGGAATTTTTTTGGAAGAGTATTTTCAATTACATAGTAAAGTAAATACATACTTTATACCTTAAACCTTAAAGTGTCACTTTGATGGCACGTTTTGTAACTAGCCCATTAGTGTAATTAGCTAATAGATGAAAAAATATAAACATCATAGTCTATATATGGCTGTTATTAAATGGTTTAAATGCTTTTTTCCCTGTTGAATTTAATGGTAATCCTCGGTAGTTTGTATAAACTCACCAGTCACAGTGATGTTGACAGCTTCACTGCAGGCTCCAGCTCCAGATTCACACCAGTACAACCCACTGTCTGAGGGGTAAGCATCTTGAAGGAAGCAGTGTGACTCATTTTTTGAACCCCAGTGTTTGGAACACTCATGATTTGTTTTTATAGATGTGTTTCTCTTTATTGTCCAATCAGGAGAGTTTTCATGCTCTCCACAGCTCAGTGTAACAGACTCGTACCTGAAGAACTGAGATCTGTTGGGAAATATTCTCAGAGTGGCTGAAAGAAACAGAGAGGTGAGACAAGTTAGTTGTGTTTACAGAGCTGTATTTAAGGGCAGAACAATGAGGTGGGCACAGTTTAGTCTGGCCACCCTATGCATCCAAGGAAACACTGACAGGGGGCTCCTCACAATTGAATTCAAATGGATATATGGATTTATATAGTATAACTCCCGACTATAGTATAACATTTTTGCTGTGCTGTTTTTCCATGAACAATTGTAACTGCCCACTTCATTTGAGAAAATTTTATGAGTTTTACTGCTGATAATTGTTTTTTTTTTCAGTTGTGTGTTGCATTAAAAAAGCTAATTAAAGGTGATGGTGTAGATATACAGCAGGAAGCTAGCACCATAAAACTCGGAAGCTTGAGGAAAACCAAGAACTTGTAACAGATCAGGGACAGCAAAGGATAAAGAGACTAAAACAATAAACACTCAGGCAGGTGACTAAGGAAGAGGAAACTGGTGGGAGCACATGTGACACTAATCACAGGAGGAGGCAAGTTAAAATAAAGACAATGCACATAGAGCAAGGGACTATTCAAATAATATAGAAAAGTAGCACAAAGAGAGACATAGACTAAATAAAAACAAACGTGGAAACATTACTGAGTGGGGAAACAGAAATAAATACAATTCAAAACCCAGGAGTCATAACAAGGGCTGCCTTTTTTATTTGAGAAAATCAAAAATGAACATGAACATGAAAACTTTTTAAAATGTTGTTACTTTTTTCTCTGACAGCTGTATTTTGGAACACAGATGAAGCACTACCTCAAACAAATTAAATTTTACTGACCTTATACTAAATGTATTCTTGCCACCAAACACGATACTAAAACCCACAGCACTGACATTTCCTTCCTCTTTACACCTTTGCAGCTTCTGCATGCTACCCACAAAATAGTTGCATTACCTCCCACAAGGTTTCATTTTAAACACTGGAACATCTGGTTTTTTATCTGTGCAGATAAGTTTGTAGCTGTATTGATGCCATATAAAATTTATAAGATGAGTTTACACATTTTAAACTAATAAATACAAGTTACATGTACTGTATTTATTTCAACTAAATCAATCTACAATAAATCGACATGAAATACAGTACCTTGCATAGAGTACCTTTTTGTAATGTACCTATTATAAAAACCTGTAATAAAATACTCTATTATCAAACAAAAGCAGATGCCCACACAGAAACAAATCACAGACTTCACACACACATTTACAGTAGTACATACCAATAATAGTGCAGAGAGCTGTTATCTCCATGCTGCTTGGCAGGTGTTTGACCCACAGACAGTTTCAGGGGGTTTGTTCACAACTCAGTGCTGACTGTGAAAAAGTCACTTGACCAAGATGTACGTCATCAATTTATTTTTTAAAACTGCAAGTGTCAAACACTTACATTCTCCACCCTAAAGATATAAAGTATATCAAAGTGAAGTTATAGAATATTTAATCCTTCCTAAAATTTGAATCAAAAATATATAACTGATTTTTTTTTTCTTTTTTGAGAGTTTTGGGGAGTTTTTTTAAAAATATAAAATTACATTAGATAGAGTGCAGTGTTCAGAGTACTTCAAAGTTTTTTGACATTTCTTTGTCTGATTTTTATCAATTACTGTCTTCCTCTATTCCAATTTGTGGAGTTTGTGCTGTTTTGCAATCACAGATTGCATAAGGGCAATGAATAATGTCAAAAAGCTCTACTTAAAATTTTGATACCCACTCATGGAAATGTGGTTTGCATATACTCAGACAACAACACAGTTTTTCTACTGTTGCTCCTATGCACCACCACAGTGGATTTTAATACATTAAAAAAACAGCATTACCACGGTGGAGAGGTTTGTGTGCCCAAGTGATCCCAGGCGCTATGCTGACCAGATAGTTTGCTTCTCCCACTGGTGGGTCTTTCAAGGTAAATTGGTCCTCAGTGAAGGGTCAGACAAAGAGCAATTCAAATGACCTCTATAAGAGAGGAAAAAACAAGGGACCTGTGTAGCACTGCCTGGGATAGGTTTACTAAGGGCTTACCCTGGAGCCAGGCCTTGGAAGTGAGCTTCATAGAGAGTGCCCTGTGAGAAAATGTACATCAGTCCACTCTTCTGTAGGTCCACTACCAACTGGAGGAGCTGGTGGTCCAATCCCTGGATTTCAAGGCTTGCTATTAGGACATAGAAAATGACCTCTCTCATAGGGAGAGACACTGATATGGTTGGCCTCACCTTTTGCACAGATCAGACTTCTGGAGAGGGGATCGAGTTTGTACCAGTCTGGAGTTGCCCTCAGTAAGAAGAATGCTGTGTCTACATTAAGATTTTCTCAGTGGACTAGCGAGTGGTTCCCTTTGCCTTTCAATCAGGGAATGGGTCCTGTCTTTCATTTGTGCTTAGAACAAGTTCATAGTACCCAGCCTTCTTGGGACCTGGGTGGGGTTCACAAGGGTGCTTCATCTGGTGACTCAGTTGTCTTACTGAAAGACATCAATGGCCATGTGGGACATGAGGAGCATGATGACGATTAACAGTCTACCTGATGTGAAATGTAATCCCGGTTGAAGGCTCTGCCTCCCATACTGTTTTTAAATATACTAAGAACCACAAGTGAGCAAGCAATCTGAGAGGTAAGTGCTCTATTGGGTGACATGGTTCTATGAGGTCTTTAAGATAATAAATAATTTCCCCTGGGGTTAAAAAATATTCTGATTCTGATGATAAGATGGGGCCTAAATATTAAAGACCTTGAATGTGACGAGAGAGATTTTAAGTTTGTTTCAGGATTTAACAGGACGCCAACACAGAAAACTCAATATAGGATAGATACGAAGTCTGGTATTATTTGCATAGCAGTGAAAATGTGTGCCATTCCACCTAATAATACTGCCTAAGGTAAGCACGTATAATGCAAAATGAATTGGTCCCAGCATGTGAACCCTGTGGAACTCCATATTTAACCTTAGTGTGTGACTCCATTTACATGAAACAAATTGAAGTCTATCAGATAGATATGGGGGGGCTGTTGCTCAGAACATGGAGCAGGTCACTTACTAATCAGAAGGTTGGTGGTTTATAGGTTGGTGGTTTGATATCTGTCTGCATACCAAATATCCTTGGTAAATAATGTAATAAAATATGGTGAACAGTAATGAACACTGCACTGAGGTCTAACAGGACAAGCACATCTCACACAGAGATGGGTCCACTGCCAGAGAACATAAGAAGATCATCTGTGACCTTCACTAATGCTACACCCAAGGCCTAGCAGCCTGTCCTGTCTGAAACTCTTTCTATCCCTCTTAGTTAACCCTTCACACTGTGAGGTTAATCAACTCTTTCATGGACATACATTTCAAATAACATTAAATAATAAATAGATTCGATCTTAGAGAAGTACCTTCCTTTGGTGCTCTTACAGGCTTCTGATGATTTAACAAAGATTCACTTAGTATATCAAAAGACACCTGAAGTCTACCATTTTCCATTTTTGCTCAGGTTTTCTACCCACCTGTCTTAGTTATCAGGTAGCATTGTTCAACCAAGACTGGGTTTCAGGTTTTAGACTCCTGGTTGTGAAAGGAGAAATGTAATCCAGGATTTCCAAGCAGGTTGAATTGAACGGAGAAAGCAAGTCGTCGGGGGTCAAGCTGATGGACCTATTTAAAAGTAAGGCATAATTACAATTTTGATAAAACAATCAAAACGATCAGCTGTATCTGAGGCAATGATGTGAAGTCGGTATTTGGACACATCAGATATTTAGAAGTGATTAGAAGTCATAAACCAGAAGAGTAGAGACCTTTTTGAAGAAAAAAAGATGTAAACAAAGTGACCACAAACAGAACAGGTAACAGATGACGGCAAACTACACACACAGGTGCCATCTTCACTCCAATTTCAGTAAACCACCTTGAAATTAGATTTACAGTGTAATTACACTCTTAGTTGTGGAGCAAATCATACAGTGTTTCCAGGTTTTTCATGGTTTTCTTTGAACACTGGCTGCTTTTTCACTTACTTTCAGTCCGGTTCTTGTATGTGGCCATTTTTACAGGAATGTTTGTCTCTTAAGCAACTTAACGCTGACCTATGAATCATTCAAGCATGAAAAGGGGATCTTACTCGAGGGATGAACCAGTATTGTGTCTAGACATGACAAACAGCTTCACAAAGAACCAGCTATTTTTAAACCAACAAGGTGATTTCCCAAAAGACTATTTAAAGTAACTCCCGGCATATTTTTAGCATGGTGTGCAGTGTGTAATTAAAAAATATCGAAAGCAGATAGAAAGTATCTGAAAGTAATATTGTCTGGCACATCAATACGAGCCACTGCCAGAAGGTTTTAACTGTCCCATAAGTATGGAGGAAATTCCAGGAGACATATCCTCTAGGACTCTAGGAGAACTGAACATTGCTATGTGGTCATTTACCCATCAGCACGACCAGTATCTGCTCCTTACTGGAAGCTTGAACAACACGAGCACTGCCAGAGCTCCAAATGACCCTTAAGGAGGACACTGGTGTGAATTTTCCCGACCAGATAATCAGAAACAGACTTTATGAGTTCAGGTTGAGGGGCTGATGCCCTCTAGTGGGCCTGTGCTCACTGCCCACTGCCATATTGAGCCTGATTAGAATTTGGAATAATATCATAATGCCAGATTTAGCAGATCCACCAGTTTTACTTCAGCCCACACTAGGTTCATCATTTTCTTTTCCATTAACCAATCCTTTAGTTCCCAACACATTTCCCAGTCCACATGAGTGTGGATATCCAGCATGAATTTTCCACCTACTGAAATCTGATATTTTTCACAGTGTTTCTTTAACCTTTGAGCTGTGTACAATCACAGTTGGTTTTAGACCAGTAAAAGCAGACTGAGGCAATAAAGGTAAGAAACAGTCAACACCATACATAAATAGAGTGCAAAGAATTGAACATTTGCATAATTTATACAAGATATTCGATACTCTCTAACTTTCTCTCCTACCAGAGCTGTTCCTCTGATGTACTCCTTTCTGGTGAGTCCTGATTGTCACACCTAAAAGAGTTTTTGCAGTAAGGTTTTGACAAAAACAAAAGAAAAACAAAACAAACAAAAAAAATGCCAAAAATAACATTTTGATGACTCAGTCTTTTAACTGACTATTGATTTATTGTCAATTGTGAAAAAGGTTTAGTTTCTTTTTCTTTTTCTTTTTTGCACAGGTGAATCTGTGTTATGAAAAATAAAGTAAACAGGTTTAGATCGAAATGCCCACTAGGGGGCAGAACCGTATTGTATTTGAAAAAGTCCGCAGTCTGGAAGCGCTGACTAAAGGTGGAGTTTTCAGAGATTGTAATTCGACCCTTAAAAGTGAAACTAGTTTGTATATTTGCTCTCATTAAAGTCTCCTGCCGTCTCATCCTTTCATCTTCTACTAGAAAAAATACTTCAGAACAGATTTTAATGTGACACATTTTCTCCTTGAGGTAAACAACGCAATGGGAAAAAAAAGCTTTCTCATAAGGAGACTTTTGTGATGTCATGTTGACAAGATAGTTCCAAGACACGTGGATTGTTTCTTCTTATGTGGAGAAGCCTGAGCCAAACACGTGGGGGAGTTTTTTTTTTTTTTTTAGGAAAGTACATAGCATTAATTTTGTGTTTTAAAGCTTTTGATGGTAAAATGGAAGAAGAGTTTTAAATGCAGTTTCTGAAAACTGGTGGGGAAAATAAAAGGCAAATATCAAACAGGAGGCGAGTTCATCATGAGTAAATTAGTGGGAAGTTCATATCTGCCCACGTTCTATAAACAGACCCACCCGTGACAAGTATATTAATGAATATTCACTCTGATTTGGAGACGTGAAAAGAAAAGGGTTGCAAGAGACTGACTTAGTCAAGTAATTCTGGAGTACTCTCATGAGATCAGGTACATTTTTCAATTAGTCAGCTCCCTCCGAAGCAGCAGAACAGGTTTATCATCACGCTGTTATCTACACTGCCAGCACATGCTGAAAAACAAAGACTGAGCACTCTGTCATCCTTTTCTTCTACTGCAAGATTGGAATGGTTTTTCTTTTTTTTCTTTTTTTTAAGATTTCTATATATGAGATTAAATGGACTCACTGTATCATTTTTGACCAGGATATGCACTTCAATGCACATATTAAACAAATATGTAGGATTTATTTCTTGCATTTGGACAATATCTCTAAAACTAGAAACATCCTGTCTCAAAGTGATGCTGAAACTAATCTGTTGTAATTTGCTATATAAATAAAATGGAATTCAATTCAATTCATTGCCCC